CACAATTAAAGGCCACACTAAAATGTGCAGTTTATCACACAGCACAATGCCACAGATGTCACAAGTTTTGAGGAAACATGCCGATTGCAGGAATGTCCACCAGAGCTGTTGCCAGTGAATTGAATGTTCATTTCTCTACCATCAGCCATCTCCAAAGGCGCTTTAGAGAATTTGACAGTACATCTAACCGCCCTTACAACTGCAGACCATGCGTAACCACACCAGCCCAGGACCTCCACATCCAGCATCTTCACCACCAAGATCGTCTGAGACCAGCCACCCGGACAGCTGCTGCAACAATCAGTTTGTTTTACCAAAGAATTTCTGCACAAACTGTCAGAAACCGTCTCAGGGAAGCTCATCCGCACGCCTTCTTCATCAGGGTCGAGACCATAGACTGTATAATATAGTATCTCGACCTGACTGCAGTTCGTCGTCGTAACCGACTTGAGTGGGCAACGTGAGTCCACTTGAAGCATGTGTTTTATCCTAAAAACTTGTTATAGTATGAATTTTGTAACATTTTCATCTTTAAAAAACTGTCAGATGGAAAAGAAACTACTGTTTTTTCTTTTAAATGTACTGGAGAGAAAGGACAACCATTTAGTGTTGATATAGTCCACACCATATAAAACATACAGTAAAATGTGATTCATGATTCCACTTCTTCTTGTTCGTCCTCCTCTGCTGACACAAGCCTCCTTCTGAACTGTGAGATTTGTCCCTGAGGATCACCTCAGGAGACCCATCTCATCCTCCAGCAAGACTGTCATAGTCGGCCTGAAATGACTTCTTAGTTTTTGTGTGTTTTTAAACCAGCAAGGCGTTGAAAATCTCCCCTGAAGCCTTTGAGCACTTCCTACACTTCTCACCTGGAAACAAGGGGTGTAAGTCCCATTTTGGGGCACAACGGTATACCATAAAATCTTGTTTTACTCTTTACAGAAAACTCAGATGTTTAAAGCATTCAAAAAGAAGAGGAGAACTTTGAGCTGGCGTGCTGTTGCTCCAGGACAATGTATTCGTTCTTACAGCACAGGTGGCAGAAGCAGCCTAATGTTGCTTTCAACTGTTGCCCCATGTGACATACTCACCCAGCCTGGCACCGTCTGACCTCTATCTGTTTCCCAAGCTGAAATCTCACCTGAATAGATGCCATTTTCAGATTGATGATGAAGTCATGCATGCTGTTGAGGAGTATCTGGAAGCTATAGATGTGACCTTCATCTGGGAAGGGTCAGCAAAGCTTGAACATCGGTGGACAAAGTGCTCTGAAGTTAAAGGAGACCAGGAGGCAAAAACAGTCTTTAATGTGGCTGGACTGAGATCTGACCACGTGTCAGGTGGCTGGGAAGTGTAAATGTCATGATTCTGTGCCAGAGGTCTTCCTTTGTTTCCTGTTGTTTTATCAGTGACTCTCACCTGTTTGTGCTCTTGTTCGGTCATTCTGGCAAAGTTTAGCAGTATTCCTCCTGGAAGGATGCTTTATAAGTAGTAAAGGCATTTTATGAGATATTTCACATAACTACCAACTAAATTGTTACCAAACAGTTTCTTCACCAATATGTTTGTAAAGGTGTGTAATAACATGCTTCAAAATCTTGAAGTTCAACTCCCGTGGGAAACCCTGAAAAAACCTGCTCAAGTTAGGGTACCGATAAATGACTGTCGAAAAATCGATTAAAAAAAAAATCGGGCCTTAAGTAACTTATGAGGGTCAAATCAGGATTTTTTTTTTTAGGATTTTGAGTTGATTGTTAGCATTTATATTTCATCACAAACACTCCATTGTTGAAAAAGGACACACTCACATTTACATTTACATTCACAGTAGCTCTTATTTCACATATACTCAGAGTTATTGCTCATTCACAGTGTCAGAAGCTTCAAGGGTCATTGTCTATGTCTTCTTAAGACTCAACAACGTCATGACTGCAGTTTCTGCATGTAACGCCTTTACAGACTCCACAGGCTGAGATGCACGTGACCTCGTTCTTCTTGCAGCTGCACCGCCGGTTGCTGCAACTCTATGACAATTACAGCTTGTGATCTTCAGTGGCTCCTCAGGAACCATGGGGTCTAGTGTTGGAAGTGGCTCATACCCATGCACACTTAATGTCCATCCATAGTCACTGGGGTTCAGAGACATGCTCTGTAGAAGGATCCAGTCCCAGGTCTGCAGGTAGGCACGGAGTGAATGCTGTGCAGCTGCACCCTCTGTTAGAGGTTCAGTCTCTGGTTTGATCACTCCTGCCGCCACCTTCCTTGAGAACATCCATCCATCCATCCATTTTCTATACACCACTTAATCCTCACTAGGGTAGTGGGGGGGCTGGAGTCAGGGCGAAGGCAGGGGACAGGTCGTAGTTTTTTTGTTTTTTTTAACCCGTCCTACCCTAAAATGGCTTATATGTAACAATGCACTGTTGCTTCCTCTAGAATGAAATGAAATTCTGGCCCAAATTACACACCACAGGACCTCTAGTTAAACTCTATATAGTAACTACACTTCCACCTCAAATGATAAAAGCTCAAAGAGCAAAGACAAGCAGCCAAGACAGTGGAGGCAGAGGGGTCATGAACCTGAGAATGACTAGAAGTATTCAGCGTACAAATATGCAATTGACCACATTATGTGAGACCTGATTCTTGACTGAACCACACGACTACAAAGCTCTCAGTCAATCCAAATGTCTTGAAAACCTGGCAATCAAAAAAAAAGTGGGCTTTTGTCTTTCTCAGTTATCAGGTGACTAAATTACAAAATGATTGCTTTCCAACTCACTTGTTTTTCCTCGATTTTCAGAGCAAGTGTAACAAATCAGTAACACCAGCATGTTCTTTGACCAATGTGGTCGCCCTTGTCTTCACCATGAGCCCACAATCCATGTGGTCTGTTAGTTTCTTCATCTACTCAGCAGCAACCACAACCAACCAAATGCTGTTCAACAAGCTGGCCTGTCTCCCCTCACTGTAAATCTCACATTTCAGTAGGACCCACAAGTTCAGCAGCATTTTCGTCAACTTGGTTATTATTCGTTAATCTTCTGCGGATATTGCTGCAGACTTTTTTTTCGGACCTTCACTAGAACAAACAATCTTTCAGTCACTGTCAGTAAGATCAGGAGATGAATTTCAGACCATCTTGAACTAGAAAAAGTCCAATTAGCTAGTTCTTAGAGAGAGCAGCCCACAAGAGAACTCCTCCTCCACCTTGCTGGTACCGGATTAGAAGTGTTGTCCTGTTTCCATTACTGCACCACCCACAGGCCCATCAGACTGCTCCATTTCATTTGTCCATAGCACCTTTTAAAAATCAGTCTTAAGGTAATTCTTGGCTCATTGTTGACGCTTCAACGTGTGAAGCTTATTCAATAGTAGATACGTTTCAGCTTTCTTCACCTCGGCCTGAATGTATTTTTGCAGGTAGGTTGCAGTTTTAAAATCCGGTGACACTGGAGGATCATGGCTTCCTGGTAACTTCACATATTAATTTTCTCAACTTTTTTCAGGTTTTTAACCAAAACCAGGAGGTGCCATTACTTCAATCCTGTTTTGGCCTCTTTACACCTGCTCTCAGTATGTTTCAGGACAGATTTTAAGATTTTACTGATTCCTTTTGAGGCCCGTTAGGGAATCTCTCTCAGATGTCTCTGACTTTTTAATACTTTAAGCACTGGTGTGTAGATCCTCGGGCAGATGTCTTTTGTCTGTAGCCCCAAGGCTCTGGATTGATCTGACTGAGGAAACGAGGTCAGCTGACATACTGACCTCTTTCTAGTCCCTTCTGAAAACTATGAATTTCCTTTGAATTGTCTTTTATTTATTTGTTATTATTGTTTATACCTTTTCCAACACTGTAATGGTTTTTATCCACCAAATTCTGTCTTTTAAAATCTAATGATTTCATGTCTGTTTTTGTTTGCATTGTTATAGTTACTATCCTTAATTTGTGCCTTTTCTTCTCGCTGTCTTTTAGCTATTAGCAACGAAACTGTTGATTGTCTGGTGCTCAATATCTGCACCTGTCTGGATTGCATTTTACTACTTTTGACTTTTCTCTGTCAGTTAAATCTCTTCTCCAGCCCATATCACCTGAGGTAATAAAGATGCTGAATAATTATGGACATCTAAGTATGAGGTCCATTTTTTTCATCCATCCATTTTAAATACACTGCTTCATCTTCTGTAGGGTCGCGGGGGGGTCCGGGGCCTATGAATTGCTAATTAACCTCAGCATGCCTTTGGACTGTGGAAGGAAGCTGGAGCACCTGGTAAGAACCCACACTGCACAGGAGGAACATGCAAACGCTACACAGCGAGACCCCAACTTGAAAATGTGCCTTGAAAAAATGACCAGACCTGAATACTTAATTGTTTAATAATTGTGCACACAGTGTACGAACTTGTATCAGAAGCATCTGCATAAACTGAATACACTTTCTCTTGGCAGCATGAACGTCTGAATAGCTTGGGGGAATAAGTGTGACTCTTAGAGATAATTCACACAGAGATGAATAGTTCTTCATTTATTAGCTAAGTAGGTTCCTCACACATGTACTGACTGGTTATTCATCACACGTAACATGGCATAAAATAAGATTACATGGACTGATTTTTGAAGCTGCTGCTTGTTTGCACACAGTCGGTAACAAAACACGGAAATGTAACTCCGGCCTTATTTCACTATCAAATATGAGATGTAATGTCTTGAGGAGCACATTGTTGTCACATACTGTCAACAGTTTTAAACTTTTTCTTTATTAAAACCAGGTAATTTAGTTGATTTAAATCCTCCAAAAGGACAAGATCTTCCCAAGAACTAGTAAGCTAGGAAATGTTCTGTTTTTCTCGAGGCGTTGTGAAGCCAGTCTTATGACTTTCTAATCGTAATGGTGCGCACTGAGAGACGGCTGTTTTCTGATGACTTCCGGGCATGTGCTGAGGTTTTGGCCTATAAAAAGCCAAATATCAACAACATTGCAGCTGATTTGTGCTTCATTTGCTACCACAGCAGAAAGAGAGGTCTATGTTGGTCAGAGGTTTCAAATGTGAAGCCTCACTGGATGTTGAGGTTAATTTTAGAGACGTCACCTCTTCTGTCTTGTGTTCACCGAGGCTGTTGCGTCGCAGGTCATTCAGTCTCTGAGCTTCAGGTTGTGCTGTTCAGATTTTCAACGCTCAACATGAGTAAATTTCACGGTGAGCTGACGCAGAGGGAGCAGGAGTTGCTTAAAATTCGTCGAGACAGCGACACTAAAGCCGCTCAGTTGGTGAAGATGGAGAAGATGCTGCAGACGACCAAGAACCTGCTGGACAAGAAGACAGAGCCTGGTTCAGAGAGCATGGGCTACCAGGAGAACATGGGTCTGTATCGCCAATAAAACCATGTGGCTTCACATGTTCAGTCTTGATTCTTGTTGTTTGGTCTGTGAATTTTGTTGTTGCTGCTTGCTTGCTGCAGTGGAGGACCTGGAGGAAAAGGTTCGCTCCAGCAGACGATACAGGAGAAACTCCCTCCATCACACGCAGATGCTGGAGAGCCAGATGAAAACAGTGAAGGGCGAGCTGGTGGGGACGCTGGACCACCTGCAGGAGCTGAGGAACGTCCTGCGGCGTTCGCAGCAGAAGGCAGAAGAACGCAAAGCTGCGATGGAGAAGCTGGCGGCAGGGCTCAGGTGAACATCCTTCTCATTAAGAACCAGCTGGTGACCTTTTCCAGCTCTAGTGCCCGTGATGTCCGACATCCTGCCAACAAGCAGAGATGACATCTAAGAAGACCTGCTTTCACTGTTCTTCTTCATCAGTGAGGCCTTGAATTCTCGATATTTGGACTCTATTAATGGTAACAAATGTTCTCTTTTTCCATTTATGCTTTGCATTTGACAGCATCTGCTTCTGAAAATAGTCTTATGATGATTATGAATTCCTGTTGCTTTTATAGGAGCAACAGTTAAATTATACATTAAGTAGTTTTGCATATTTCTGCTTATTTCTCTTACTTTTTTCCTGCTTGTACATGGATCTTACCCTCATATCATCTTAAAAGCAACATTGAAGGGTATTAAAAATATCTCCAGACCACTTCCCATAAATGTGTTCTCTGGGTTGTTGGTGGCTTCCACACATCTATGCATGCTGTTCATGAAAAGAAAAATCTATCTGTATTTGGATATTTTCCATCTGCAGCCTCTTGGATCAGCCCATCCTTGCCCATAAATGACATCGTTCAGAACACAAATCTGTATGTTTAACCACTACTTGTGTTGTTATTAAATTTCTACAAGCTGATTCTCATGTTCGACTTGATCATTTTGCTTTAATGTCTTTGTCAGAGTGGCATATAACAAAAAAAATACTGTTGTTTGTCTGGTTAGTTTAAACGCACAAATGTGACATTCAGCAGTGTGAACATTACAAATTGTACTACAGACGGAGCTGGAGACTTAGAAGCGAAGAAAAACACAATTGTATTCCTTCCTATGTTGTTTTTTTTTTTGTAATATATTCTTTCCCAGATGACAGAAATGTACGCTGAGTGGAAGCTTTCAGCGTTTCAACTCCCTCTGGGATCAATAGCCTGTTGTCTGTTTCCTGTGGTGAGTCATCTGAAAGCTGTATTTTGTGCCTTCCCTGTGGCTGAGATGTGATCCCAATTTAGTACAGCCTGTTTCACACAGCGTCACATGCTGCGGAGCTGTGGGGGGATTTCATTCTCTGACCCTGACCTCCACATTAAACTGTAATTATAACACCACTCGTATAGACTGCTTGTTATGTACGTTTACTTCTCCTGTCTTTGATTTACAGTGATGCTCTCTGTAGGCTCATAACATATGTCACACTTTTGTCCAAACTAAGTGATGGGTTGTTGTGCTACGAATGCTATATGAATGTGTGTGTCTAAATTTAGCTGAAAAACTCAACCGAAGCTGATTTGTGATCATTTGGGAAAGAAAAAAGATGGTGTGGAGCTGCAATAAATACACAAACATTCATCATCACATGGTGTTCTCGACAGATTGGCTCAGATATGCTAAGGATTCTCACAGCTAATGAGCCCACAGGGGGCACTGGAGACTCTCAAAGCTGTCTGGGAAAGAAAACAAGCAGAAGCTTCGTACTCGCTTCCTTTGCAAGACCGCATATTAGGATTCAGGTGATTTTATTTCCCACTCATAAGGAGGTGTGTGTTATTTGTAACTGTTTAAATAGACTGTGGTCTTTCTCTCTGTATATCTTTTAAACTGTAATCAGTGGCTTTAGGAAGATACTACTGATAAACAAAGATTATTCACTGGGTCATCACAAGTCTCTTTGAACAATGAACTCAATTTCCCCTCACTGGAAAAAAAAAATCTGTAATTTACCAAGTTTTCCTACATTTTACAGAATTTTCACAACTAGACTGTCAATGTGCAAGTCTAATGTAAAACAACGTTAAAAACCTGGAACTGTGACTAATTTTCATGGTAATTTCATTAATATTTCTGTTTGTATTTTGGCCATAAAACTACAAAATTCTAGTTTAAAATGGTAAATATATTTCTAGATTTAGATATATTGAGCGGCAGTTAACAGAAAGCCTGTAATTTTACATTTTCATTTATGAAATGAATTACATTTCTTTATAAAACCTTGTATAATTACAAAAGCTTACCCATCTATCAGTCTGTCATAGACAAATATATTATTTTTACACCATGGAAATTCTTTCAAATTAATAAAAAGCCAAATAAATTTTAAATCTTAAAAATTACTGTATGTTATAGTTTTTCATCTTCTTCTTCTTACTACCAATTGCGATTACTTATTGACTGTGAAGTGCAACAACAATGTCTAATAATGGTAAAATCCTACTAATGCTGTAGAATAACATTTAAAAGTGATGAAATTCAATAAATACATTTAAAATTGCGCTCTTTGGCCGCTCTAAAGACATGGCAGAAAAATTAGTTTCCCAAAATGTACAATTATGAATTCAAATACATCCATAATTTTCTTAGGTGTATTTTAGCCAAACAGGGATTTATTCTTCTGCTTTGAACACAGCTTTCTCTCTCTTTCACATTCAGTTTTGTGGAGCTGGTGATCATGGAGTTAATATCTGAATACCTTTAAGTCACTTTAATTAACTGCTCTGTGTTCCGTGGCATTTACACTGAAAGGAGAAGAGAGAGAAAACAGGTTAGCCTGCCTGCAAACAATATTCGTTGTTCAATAGCGTTATGGAACATTTCGGCACGGCGGCACCGCCCACATACGCTCACTACAGTCTTATGTAGTCAGTGACACTGTCCTTACACCACTCTTCTGCTGCTATAATGTTCTATCATGTGTTCTCATGTGTTGCATAATGAACCCTCTGTAAGATTGGGCAAGCAGTGGTGAAACAATAGCAGCCACTTTAATTTTTGGAATTGTTTGTTGTGACCTGAAGTTTATTGCTCGAGCACAAAGACAAACACATTGTCTGCCAGAGCTATGACTAACGTCCTTGTTGTGACGGTTCTGCAGCATTCATTCAAACCAGAAAGCATCAGAACAATGAATGTGGTGATGGCAGCTACGGCTACTTTCTCTGAATAATCCACAGAACACGCTGTCAACAGTTTTAGAAGCATTATTTCTTTGGTTGAAAGTAGTTACTCATGCTGCTCTTGAAATTTTAAATGCTACCTTCGGACGCTGAGACCACAGCGCCTCGACAAATAGAATGAAAACTATCGACACTGCAAGATAAATTTACATCTTTTCATCTGGCAGAAGTGACACACAGATGAAATATTATCCGAAGTCATTTTTTGTTATTCGGGTCGAGCAGACTTTTAAAGGTGTACTCAAAATAAAGAGATTTTTGAAAGAACAGGTGGCATATAAAGCTGAGATACACTGACTGTCACGCACTTGCTGCGTGGAGGAGTTAGTTGTATGTCATGCACATAAAACTAGTAGGGCAGCTGCCAATTCTGCAAGCGAATACAATGAAACTGATGTGAGCTCAGACAGGGAGGACATGTCTTGATGTGCTGATCCCTGCTCAGTATCACTAATAAATGCATCAGTGTTTTTTGAGCCTTTTATGTGTAAGTTATTTGGCTCGACCCGTGGGAAGCAGATCTTCATGCACAATCATTCACCTTTTGTTTAGCTTAACCATGTAATAGCCCTGGTTTAGATATGTAACCATGAAGCATAATTTATTCATCAATATCGCAATGTTGTAGAAAGTAAGTTCTATACTGACGTTGTTGGTGGGGTACGTCATACGCTGCTGGGTGGTGCTCTTTTGCCAAAATCAATCAACCAGCTGGACTGGGGCTCCATAATTACTTTATTATTTTGCTCTATTTTTATTTGGTTTGAGGTGTGTCTTGGTGAGGCATCAGTCACTGTTAGGGTTAGAGTTATGCTAAGTATTGTTGGCTGGTAATACTGTACAAAACTTTTGCCTCGAGCTCAGCAAACCTGACAGAAGACAGTTAAAAATAGTTTTCTATGCAGGTGCTTTACTTTTGATTAAGTTTTGTCTACAAGATGGTGCTAGTCTCTGTGCTCTTGTTGTCAGGAGGTACAGGAACCAACTTACAAGTCAGCAGTGTACTGCATGTCGGCTCCGTTGCTCCGTTGCCCCACATTTCTTTTCGCTGCAACTATCGAATAAAGTGTGTGCATCTAAAACAAAGTGTTTCTATCAACCTGTTGCAAAAAGTTGCACAGTTCACTTCTTTTTATTTGACCTTTCCTGACTGTGAAATGCACACACCCTCATAGTTTATTTGCAGGCTTTCTGTTAAAGATTTGTTGTATGCAGGCCCAAATCGAAATGATGTCTCCTGAGGAAGCTCCTCCGCTGCTACAGAAGCTGCAGAATACACAGTTCCCCACAATTAGTAAAGCTTGTGTAAAATTCAGTGAAGGAAACCTTTAACCTATTTAACAGCCATACTAAGGTACTGCAGCCCTGTAAGCTCTTTAACTCTGTTTTCCTTTGTAATGTTTGCTTTGCTTCTGTCAAGAATACTTTAATAAATGTACCTTGCAGAACAAATCCACCTGGTACACTGCAGCAGCACATGCAGTAATACAGGTTCTGACCTGCCCTTCAACTGCACTCCTCCTGTGAACCCACGTACTGAAGCTCAAAAACCTCATCCCTTTCAGTATTATGCAATATTCTGGTCAGGTTATTGGTCTTTTTTTCTGTATCCTGGGTAAACCCTGCATACGTCTAAAGTAAACCTTGTTAAATGAAGACCAGAGTGTTATAAGTGGCTTCATAGGAATTGCACATAATCCAACAATATTGCACAGCAATGTTCATCTAAATAGATAATAAAAGCCAAACTTGCGGCCCTGTTTTTTTCTCATGTAAGCCTAAGGATGGAGTTTATGACTGCACTGACAGCTGGGGCTCTGCTTATATTATCTGCAGATACGGTTGTCAAAGAAATGTTTTCAGAAAAAAGACAATTTTCTTTTTATGCCAAGAGTTGGATGAGAAGATTGACACCAACCTAATAGCTGTATATTGTACTTGTACATGAAGCTCCAGCCACAGCTGGGTTAGTTTAGTTCATTTTGACTAGCAGCAGGAGGAAACAGCGATCTGTAACAAGATAAACTTGTCTGTCGACTGGGCTGGCAATGTCCTCCGGCTTTCAGTCTTTATTCAAAGCTAAGCTAACAGGCTACCTGTGGCTTTATGCTGCTTCACACAAACGTGGGAGTGGTATCCAGTGGCAGTTAATCAATACAGGCTACAGGGGTGCCACTCCACTACTAATGATCAGATAAAAAGTAGTTCTCAAACACAATATTACATTTGACTTAATTATAGCAAAACAATAATAAAATTGTTAATAATGTTCATATTCTTTGTATTATTAACCGATTTAAGTTAATCTTTACTGCATGTTTATTAATTTTACACTTCCTGGATGCGGGCGCGGCCACATGAGTGTGTATGTAGCTTGAAAAACTTTTCATGATCATGTGACCTCGGCCTGGGCTCTGATTGGCAGCTGCAGACTTTCTCAGAGGGCGCAGCTCGGTGCTTAAAAATAAGGTCTTGTGTAGAATACATGTAACTGGGTTTAACCTTGGACAAATCTGACGTCAGAACGCCCTAGTTTATTATTTTAAAAGTCATTTTTGGTCACACACCTGTCAGAGCACACCGCAGCCACCAACAGCATCTACCACAGCCTGCTATGTGGGGCCGTCAGGGAGCATCAATAAGTCTTAGCGTCTATCGAAAAGAAAATGTTCAGCATGTCATATGTTTTGCCTTTGACCAGGTGGGAGGTGCAACAAAATGAGAAAGTGGGTCGTACTGGTGCTACCAGTGAAAGAGTCAGTCTGGAGTCCTGAATAGTTTGTACAAATCCTGTAAATATTGCTGAAAGTTTGATGAAAGGTTTTCAAATTTAGTTCTGGTCAGTCTTAATGATGTGAAATTAGATTATGATTAGAATATCCTCCAAAGGTAGAACATTTGTAAATAGTTGTGCCTGATGTTACTCACATACTAATTTCTGATTTAAAATTAAAGGTCATTTGCAGACTGTGCCTCCCCACCAAAAATATTCACCTTCTTAGCTCACTCTTGGAGAGAAAGCAAATGCTGAAGTGTGAAACTATTCCTTTAACTGCACTGAGATGATTGGCGCCTGTCTTTAATACACTGCCTGATAAATTAGCAATGATTCTGACCCTCTGAGGGCTGCAAAATATCTTCTACACAAGCAAGTGTTGCTGCAGGAAATTAAAACTGTGATGCACCTGCAGGCAGTTTTGACTCACTGATTCATGTATCTGCATGTATCCCCTGTTGAACCTGGACAAAGCCTTGTTTTCAGACTGTGCCATATGCTTCACAGCAGTGTTCCAGCAAAACGTTGCTGACGGCTGTTCGTGCCTTTCTGCAGAAGTTTGCGGCCCAGCCGGTTATGACATCGTGCAGCTCTTAACAGTTATGCAACATGCAACATGAACTCAAGACAGAACAAGTAACCTGTAGTTGGCAGCCATTGTGATCAGTCACCGTACAGGATTGTGTATGTGTTTGGCCTTGTGCAGGCGAGGCGGTATGTCCCAGACACCAACTGTGTGAGTTGTGTCCACACTGCACAATGAGACAGAATGTGCTGATGCAGCTCTGACAGTAGGAGCGATGGAGCCAGCCCTAACCTGAGGCGACTGCCGGAGCTCAGGGGAGAGATTTGTGCCTTCACTTTCTGTCAAGCTGCCACACGGGAGTCAGAGTGGTCACAATCTGGGGCTGCTGGCAGGCCTGTGCCAGACAGTCACACTCTGAACTCAAACGCGTGCACAGTTGATTTGTAATTGCCAAATCAACTATGCAAGCAGTGAAGACGAGTGTTTGTCTCAGGGCGAGCAGTCTAATGACCTCTGAGAGATGGCCAGTTGTTCAGATCCACAGCTCATCAAGTTAGCATCCCATATTAAGTCTTTTTCGTCCCTGCATTGCAGAAATGAAATCATTTTTTGTTGCACCTGTTGGTCAGACTAATTACTCCTTGTAATGGCTACTGACAACCTTTGTCGCGTTTTTCTAAAGCACATTGTCTGGTATGTTCTTCTGATATTAAGTATGGCTTCATTTCTGCACCATGATGCACCAAACTAAGCATTTGTTTGGTTGTGACTCTTTGACTTCCCTTTAATATTTCAGGAAAAACTGCAAACTAACATGACAGTAACAAAAACTTGCTCTTTTAAGAGTGACATCTAACTATAATTGCTCTTTAGCATGATAATATTGTGTCAGATTTAGTTGCATTTACAAATCAGCTCAGAAGTCTACTTTGTCGTATTTCTTTTCATTGACTTTCATTTAAAATGGCTGCATGCAAAGAGTGAATACATGACTCCATCGTGATGAATTTGGCAGTGGTGGTACTCAGAACATTTACTTCTGTAAAAAGTTAAGAAAAATGGCGTAAAATAATTCAAAATAAAAGGACTTGCCATTCAGACAAATGGCCCCTGTGAATGTTATGTTTGTTATATGATATAAACACTGGTGCATTATTATTGAAACATGACAGTTCATGTATTTGAATCTGAACGTATGCTGTGTATGTAAGAACTACTTGATAATCAGCAGCTGTCAGATAAATGCAGGAGATTGACAGACGATTAAAATGTGGTGCAGCAGAAGTAGCAGAAAAAGGACAAATATTCAGGTAGAGTGTTAAAAGTGAAGATTAAATCTTTACATCCAAACACTGACTCGCAGTGGAAATACTATATGACACTTTTGCGTTGATGCATTTTTAGGGTTCCTACAAGAACTCTGAGGGTTTGTCTTTATTCCAGTATTGTTTCCATCGGTGGAGGAAGATTCTTTACTTAAGTAAATGTACCAAAGCCCTATTTTCAAAATACTCAGTTACAAGGAAAGGCTCAGCTTTCAAAATCCCACGTGAGTAAAAGTGTAATCAGCAAAATGTACTGAGAGAACCATAAATAAAAGCACTCATGTCCCAATGGGCAGTAATGTGTAAGCAGCATTTTACATATGTAGCTGCTTGAGGCAAAGCTAGTTTTAATTAGCCTAGTTTGTCTGCTACGTGTGTGTGTGTGTATGTGTGTGTGTGTATGTGTGTGTATTTAAAATATCAGTGATGTCAAGTGACGTGATAAATGTCCCTCTGAAATATGATGATGTAAAAGCATAAAGTATTATAGATTGTAAATGAAGCAATGTGCAAATATGCCAGACTTGTTCTTCAGTATCTGTCTTTGTTCAGGGATCTTTGCAGTGTGAGCAGAGCTGTGTGAGTCCTCTTTGCAGAGGCTGGTCGGGGTGTGAAGCAGCTGGACACGCCTCTCCAGCCTATAAAGCAGGTCTGATCGCAGGCAGCCTGGGCGGATCACTGCAAGAGCAGCGTTGCAGCTTCTTCACGCCCAGCATCACACTTCTGTCCTCGTAAGGTAATGGAAAATCTCTTGAACTCTGTCTGTTGAAACTTTTTGTATAGTGCTGTAAAAACTTGCTGCAGCCTTTTACATTTAGAAAGTTGTGACAAGTCCCTGCAAAGTTGATGACGTCTACAATGGCTTGAGATGTATCTGATTTTGCATTAAATAAAACTAAACAAGTTGTATTCAGGACAAGGAAAGAATTCATTTATAAACTTGCTTTTTTTTTTTTTCAATTGTGGCCAGAAATGTTGTCAGTTTATCAGTGTTGGAAAAGGAGAAAATGGTTGGTTCTTGCATTATACTCATACCTCCTAGTGTTGTGTGCAAACTACACAGAGTAATGGTTACAAACTACATGACCATAAGATGCATGCTTTTTGTCTTTGCCTGTGGGGAGTGGCTCTGCATTCTCCTAAATACCACACTTTTGGCAGTCAGTAGAGAGGACACACCCAGGCACATCAGGCGATTTTATTCACTGAATAGAGTTGTAATTTAGTACCTGTATTATAGGTTAAGCAAAAGACACTGCACGATGAATCTCATGTTCCAGAAAAACTGAGAGCTTTTGATTCAAATGGAATAAAGCAAAAATAATTACATTTACTAAATATATTCTGCATGAATTAACTGTAATATTCTGCAATGTGCACAACAAATATCACACAATGATTGAAAGTGGCAATGAGCAGCTTTTCTTCAGCCTGATCCCAACATGATGAGAATCTGACTTCAAGAGTTCAGGCTGCATTAAAATGGACTGCAACAATTGATTAATCACTAAAAAGACAGCGGTAAATGTCTGTTACAACTTGCTAAAAGCCCAAAATGAGGCTTATTTAATTCAACTAGCAAATAATCAATTAATCGATTCATTGTCAACTATTCCATCAGTCTGAGCACTTTTTTTTTTTTTTAGGGGGAAAAGAGTCCAAATCCTCTGATTACAGCCAACATTTTGTAAACCGACCAACTAATCCATTTTTTGAGAAAATAATTGACAGTGGAGATAATTGCTAGTTGTATTAATGAGCACATGGCATAAAGAAAAACATGAAATTCTGTAATTTTAGAAGCTGGGGTGAGAACATTTGGGGCAAAAGGGAAGTCATTGTCCTCGCAGTGATCCCGCTGTTTGTGTTAATGAAGACGTGTCTCCTGCCAGGCCCTGAGCACCATGACACACAAGGAGTTCCAGACTGCAGGGAAGAAGCCCGGCCTGCAGGTGTGGCGGGTGGAGAAAATGGATTTGGTACCCGTCCCTCATGAATTACACGGAAGCTTCTTCACCGGAGACGCTTACATCTTGCTTTATACTACCGCGGCTCCCTCTTACAACGTTCACTCATGGATTGGTATTGGATTATTTTCTGTAAACCGCAAAGCAAACTCAGGCTCATAAGAGATTTAAATTGTCTGTTTTATTTTACCTGCATCCACTGTTATCTGTTACTCTGCAGGCACTGAAGCTACTCAGGATGAGAGTACTGCTGCTGTCATTTTCCAAGTTCAGCTGGATGACTTCTTGAATGGAACTCCTGTACAGTACAACGAGTTTCAAAATGAAGAGTCATCCACCTTTATGAAATACTTCAAGACTGGCATCAAATACAAGGTGAAATATGCATACATGCAAACTGGTTTCATCAGGGTATAAATTATTTGAAACGAGGCAAAAGCACAAAAGTTGGGACCTTGTTACCATTTTATAGTGCCAGAAGAAACAGTTTAATGACCACACCTAGACGGGCTGATTAGGTATTTGTGGGAAGTCCTTGCTTGCAGTGCTGTGTGGAGTCGTGCAAGGTTGCTCCCTCAGGTTTCCTGCAAAAGGTTTCCATGGAGAGTTTGAACCAGCAAACAAGGCGAGCTGGAACATGTTCTGAGAAAAACACCAAATGGCTGCCAGTGTCATGATCTGAAGCAGGCCACTGGGAAACAGGCCACCCAGGCTTCTGTTTCAGACAATCTGACGCTGAAATAACTTACTAATCTTTGCAAGTCATGAGCTGAACGTCTTTAAAGTGGCCATGACTGATATTCACAGAGCTTTACAGTGAGTTTCAGCTCAATGTTGAGTTGTTCGGGTCATTAAATGTACTGTTTTTGCTGCAGGTAACTGCTCCAAAACCCCACTGTTTCTAGAAGTTTATGTTTTCTACATGGCCGCAAACATAACTGCTGGATGAGCAATGAAGTAACAGTTTGCTCATGAGGTTTCATTAGAATATTGGTAGTGGTGCCTTCAGGTAAGAAAGACATTTGATTTCCCACACTATGGTCAATTTATATTCACCAATTTGGGCCATTTCTGCATGGATTTATGATTTAAATGTCTTTAATTACATAAAGAAAACATAAAATTAGGAACCACATGACAATTAAAAAATATACCAGAATATATATAGATGTAATTACTGTCATTTCGCACAATAGATTAGCACATAGTTCATGTTTTGAGAGTAAATAAAGACCTAGTGCTGAAGAAAAAACACCTGCAATTCTCTGAGGCATTGTTTCATCTACTGAGGGCTAAAATCATGTTTTTTTTGTTTTTTTTTTTACCTTCTTAACATGACCATATGGTGTTTTCATCTACCAGAAGACATGTCATGAGCAAAATAATTCAACACCATGGCCACTGATGACAGTCTCATAACAAACTTGAGGAACAAATCCTCTTAACTTGCAGGGCGGAGCTTTCTGTATCATTATTCTGACTCATGTCTGACTCCAACATGTCTGGCTTGATTACGCCAATATTAAAACTTGCAATTGTGTGGTGCAGAGTAATTTTGCAGTGTTTTAGCAGAGTTGCAGGTGAGCTGGTGTGCTGGAGCTGCAGAGGGCAGCAGACAGGTGAATGGAAAGAAGAGAGGTGGAGATTAATTTGCATATTAATGGGGAGGACCATGGGGGCAACGGGAGTGGTAGAGCTATATTCAAGCCAATTTTAGGCATGATTGTATTCATGGAACTTTGATACAGTGAGATGAACTGTCAGGGCTTTAATTCAGGTGGCTGCGTCCAGGTGTCCAGGTTTATAGGCGGAATTCATGTCTTGTGCAGAGAAGTTTATCACTTGTTATGGAACAACAAGTGATATTTGTTCCCTTAGTCTGTCCTCAAGACGGGAGCAGTTCCATCCAAGATACTCAGCTGTGTGGTGCACACTTGCCCAAAAGTGCTTTTCTCCTTAACAGAGCAGCTGAAACAGAGTTAATAAAACACATCTGATAATGACTTTCTATTAGAAATTTGGTATTTGGATGGTTCAACCCCACTGTATGTCATCAGAATTTGATCCAATGAATCTAATAAATGCTAATATACAAGTGGAGAAGAGCTTTATGATTAGTTCATTTTATCTCATTCATGTCTGCTGGGAGGGCTGCCCGGTGGCTAGCACTGTTGCCTCGCAGCAAAAAGGTCACCAGTTTGCGTCCCGGTGAGGACGCCCGGGATCTTTCTGCATGGAATTTGTATGTTCTCCCCGTGCAGCGTGGGTTCTCTCCGGGTTCTCCGGCTTCCTCCCACACAGTTCAAAAACATGTTGAGGTTAATTGGTGATTCTAAATTGTCCGTAGGTGTGAATGTGAGTGTGCTTGGTTGTCTGTCTCTAAGTGTAGCCCTGTGATAGACTGGTGACCTGTCCAGGGTGTCCCCTGCCTTCACCCTGAGTTACCTGGGATAGACTCCAGGCCCCCATGACCCTAGTGAGGATTAAGTGGTGTATAGATAATGGATGGATGGATGGATGGATGGATGTCTGCTGGGAGCTAACCAAAAGCAAGACAGCTTGATTGGCAGAGATTTCAGTCGTGCATGACAAGGGTGCCAATGTGTGCGCCCTGTGGGTCCAAAATTGTAGGAGCATACCCAACATGCAGGTGCCTCACCTTTTTGTGTTGTTGTGCAACTTTTTGAATGAAATGATTTGAATGAATGAGGCTGTAGTCATCTTACGCGCATGTTTATTCACCATGCAGTGCAGTGATAGTCAAGCACTGTACTAAATCTCCTGTGATGTTTTGGTAACACAGCCATCATAGCACTTACAGTCTGACTCACTCGATGCGGTTTTCTTAGCCTGCCATTTCAAATTCCACTACCCGCATGCTACTGTTTTCAAAATCTCCTTAGCTGTAGGAAACAGCAACCATAAAGAAAATGTAAGGTTTTGGGCAAGATTTGGGATCATGCAATAAGATAGGCCTGCTGGGTTGTTCCAGGGAGTTTGCTATGGTGTTGACCATGGTCAATACTCACTACTTTGCAGGGGCACTGCTGCTTCACACCACCCAAAATGATTGTGGTGTGATAGCCATGTGGAGATGGATCTGGCTATGTAAGATTATAGCACCTATGACAAAATAGTCAAATAGTAGTAAAGCTGTATGTATCCATAGCGTCGTAGATTCAATCAGAAATGCCAATAAAGTCACTTCAATTGCCATATTCAGTCACAGTGTGAGCAGTGCAACTGTACTCACCGCCAGTGGTGGGACACTGTTTTGAGATCAGGCCTTCTAAATAAGGTGTCACGTCATCTCTAGTTTCTGTAGCATCTGTTAATTATTCTATTAACTGGCAGTGTACTATAATTGCACTGGACCCACGCAGCAACTTTTCACGTTGATCACAAAAGGTATTGCAAGGAAATACATAAATAGTTCAGAAAAAAATCCCCACCATGACCCTTAAGGGTCATTCTGCAGTGAGCCATCTTTTGGTATATTTAACAAAGATGGGAATGGTGTCTGTCTTCTATTTTACTGTAACTTTAGAAAGTACTCCTCTAATATTCCTCTGTACACATAGGACTAACATGCTGTTTGAATGCTTTGTTACAGAAAGGTGGAGTACGCTCAGGTTTTAAGCATGTGGTCGAGGAAAACGTGAAGCGTGCCCTACACGTTAAAGGTCGTCGGCTAATCAGAGGAACAGAGGTGTCTTTAGAGTGGGCGTCCTTCAACAAAGGAGACTGCTTCATCATTGACCTGGGAAAGGTGACCTAGAATTGTGACTACATACCCAAACATGTTTGACAGACAGCTTTAAGTGTTTCAGTGTTTCACCGCAGCTTTATTTTCACCTTCTTTCTCCTCTCTGTGAAACCACAGGACATCTTCCTTTGGAGCGGCAGTGAGAGCAATCGTTACGAGCGTCTAAAAGCCATTCAGATGGCCAACGACATCCGCGACAATGAGCGAAATGGCCGCGCTGACGTTGAGATAGTTGACGAAGGTTGTGAGCCAGAAGCCATCATCAGTGTGAGATTTCTTTTCATTTGCATTACATTTTATTTTCTGGAAACCTCTGAATGGCTGTGACAAAGTATTTATCTGATGCCAGGGACGATGTCAAGTATAATGTTGTGTTTATTTACAGGTAATGGGACCCAAGCCTGAGCTCCCATCTGGAACCTGTGATGTTTCTGCTGAAAAGAAGAAGAAGAACCAGGCATCCCTTTATATGGTAAATCCACTCATACAGTAGGGTCCAAAAGTCTGACCAGTAATCATCTTCCAAAGACCTTTTTTTTTTTTTTATCATGTTTGCTTTAATGTTCAGTGGGTTGAGATCAGTTGACTGTGGAGGAAAGTCCATGACAGTCAGCTCTCCTTGGTCTTCTTTGGTCTTTAAGTCAAAGCTTTAAGGTGTGTTTGGGCTCATAATCCTACTGCAGTGAATCCTTCACCACAAGGATGCAAACCAAATAGTAAATAGGATCTTTCTAAATCATCCGCTGTGAAATGCTGCCCACTCCATGTGTGTCGTCCCCCCACCCCCCTTCTCCAAAATGCTTCAATTCAATTTAATTCTATGTGTTAGAACTTCTTGTCTTTTAAAACTATTTCCAATAATATGACAGATTGTAACATTATGTCAGATTGTCGATGTACTCTTCGATCTTTTGAACTCCTCTGGATATTCACTTCTTTATGAATTCCTGTTAACAAACGTTACAGTATCGCAGAGATTCAGATGATAAATGTAGATATTTCGATCATCTCTCTTCTCTCTAGATTTCCGATGCTGCTGACTCCATGAAGACGACTTTGGTGGCTGAAAAAAACCCGTTCAAACAGAACATGCTGTCCCAGAGCGAATGCTACATCCTGGACAATGGAGCGGATAGAAAGGTTTTTGTCTGGAAAGGTATTAGACTTTTGACGTCTATTCATTTGCAACCTCTTCTTCTCTGGATACACTTTGTTTAGTCTGTCTATCAATGCTGACTTTGTTTTGTTCATCAGTGCTCGTGGTTCCTCTCTAGTTGACTCATTCATAGATTTTTACCAGAATCTGATTAACATTTCTCACCATTGCACCAAACCCCAAAATGCAGGGAAGGATGCAAATGAAGCCGAGCGCAAATCAGCAGTTGATATCGCAAATACGTTCATCAAAGACCACGGATACTCCCCAAGAACTCAGGTAATGTGGTCATGTTGTGAAAGTCTGCTGGCACAACTTCATCCTTGCCTATTATGTCTTCCTGTTTCTGAATATACTTGCCCTTCTGTCTGTTCATGCCACTGACAGATCCAGGTATTTCCAGCAGGGAGTGAGAGCACCCTATTTAAGCAGTTCTTCTCCGGATGGTTCGAAGGGGACATCAAGGGCCCACATAAGGTCTCTTCCATTGGTAGCATTGCCAGTGTGAAGCAGATTCCCTTCGATGCCTCCAAACTCCACGACAACAAGGAGATGGCTGCCCAGCACGGCATGGTGGATGATGGCTCTGGGAAAGTCCAGGTACGGTCTTTTGCTTGACTATGATTATGCTGTATATTCACAGTCTTCAATAACAGTGTTTACGTATGACAATGGTGAATGTCTGCAGATTTGGCGTGTGGAAGGAGGTGATAAAGTACCTGTGGACGCATCCACCCACGGACAGTTCTTTGGAGGTGACTGTTACCTGGTGCTGTACTCCTACAACGAAGGCAGACAGAGGCATATCATCTATATCTGGTGGGTGCAACCCTTTCAGCAGGGCCAGATATATCTATTAGGGGACAAAGATTAGTTGCTGGGCCCCTGTTGACAAGACCAGTGGTAGAGCAAAGTACTTTTCTTGTGTCAAGCTTTTTATTTACCTTCTGAAACCCACCAGTTGGTTTGAAAGGTATGCTGTCTTTTACAAATGGAAAAAATGACACTATTTATCAAAGCCAGAAACTGTGAAAAGAATTATACTGATTTTTAGCTTACCAAAGAACTAAACATGTAGTTCCATTGGGAACATTAGCTGAAATTATGATTTTTTTCTTTTAATGATTAAAAAAAAAAAAAAAAAAAGACAGCACTTCATTTTACGTGGCTCTTTTAAAGCATTGCCACAAATAAACAGTTTGCATAAGATTCAGTAAAAAATCAAAGCATTTTGCACTCCTTGACGCCACCATGAAGCCATTAACGACTCAACTGCGACGAGCTGTCACATGACAAAACATAAACTGCAGAGAGCAGATCGGTGACAAGTATGGAATCAAATAAAAAATGCGAGTAGATAAATATTTAGTATTAGTGTGTGGTGTCGCCATTTCTTTCTCTTTTTTTCAGTATTGGTAACACCTGTCGGCACTGATACATGGCAATTCCTGTGTTTTTCAGTTTTTGTTAAAAGAAATAAAAATAAAAAAATCACAGAAATTCAACTTGTTGTTTTTGATGTATGGCTTATGGCATTGTAACGGATGATGTTTTTGAGTTCTCTCTACTCCTAGCCATGGTTGTGTTGTTTCCATGGAGGTGCAGGACTTTATATTGCAGTGAAACACGAGGCCCCAGTGAGGAAAAATGCCCAGAAAGTACTTGAGATACAGAGAGGTTAAGCCATTCACACAACAGAAACACATACCATCTTGTGAAAAAATAAAAAAGGAATACTTATTTTCTAACATATTTGGACAATCAAACATTGGATCCTCTTTGAAACAGAGTGATATGCTTGAACAGCACCACAAGGGAAATAAGGTTTTTACTAATTTATTCAACAACAACAACAAAATCAATAGATGTACTATCCTCCTTTTGCCTCAGAATTCAGTATTGGATGGCTGAAATTTGTGAGCATGGTGTTTGAGGGTTTTCAAGCACTGAAACCCCACAGCATTTCAATCAGATTCACATGTGGACTTTGTTATCATAGTTTAACGGGATAGTGTGCTAATATTTTGCACATACACAAATGAAGCTAATGAGAATGTTCATTTTGCACATATTTACCAAGGTATTCTGATAAGGATCTGATAAATTCACTAGAATCAGAATATCACTGGAATTAGTGCAGATCATTTTGAGATTTGCGCAAATTTCTTCATGAAATTTCATCATGATGCACCCAGGAGTAATTCCAAAGAGAAACTCCTGGTGACCATCAAATAGTTCCTGAGATTTTTCCATCTGGGTCAAAGTGATATTACAAAAACGTCTGGATATACTGTTGTTTCAATTGTGACAAACATTTTTTGCTTGAAAACTAAATGAATTGTGAATATTCTACTTCTTTGCTGTAGGCAAGGTCTGAAGTGCACTCAGGATGAACTGGCTGCTTCAGCTTTTCTCGCTGTCAACCTGGATGATTCCATGGGTGGAATAGCTACGCAGGTAACATACGCCCTGTTTTTTAAAAAAAGAAGCTTACAGTGTTTCTCGGGTTTTTCTTAAAAGGAAACCTTCAAAACTTTAAGTAATGCATATACTTGGCAAGAGTCAGTCAGAAAAACAATACCACTTTCATATCTACCTGTTAATATATGTAAATCTGGAGATACAGCCAGCAGCTGGTTACCCCTGGGGAAACAACTAGCCTGGTTAGTGAGCTTTAGAGTTCCATTTTCTCAGCAAGAAAATGAATAAACGTATTCCCCAAAATAAAAGACTGTTGATGTCTTCTGGACCCCAGGTCTTTTGGTTTAGGTGACAGGTATTGTTTTTTTTTTTTTAACCATTTACTTTAAATGTAAAAAAGAGGGACATTTGTCAAACATTTGGAACCAAAAATACGTCAACTTATCAGAGAATTTACTTAACATAGTGTACAAGTCTATAATGAATATCAACAAATATTTTGCACATATTATTTCTTGGGGATCCAATGGACCCTTCAGCGTATGGCAACATGACAGTCCTCAATAGAGTTAAATGAGTTGCTCCTGTCATCCAGACATAGAGGGGACACCTCTGATCACCCAGCACTTCATTAAACATGCAGCTACTGTTCTGTCTCTGCAGGTTCGGGTCACTCAGGGCCAAGAACCCTCACATTTTGCGAGCATTTTTAAAGGAAACCTTATCATCCACCTGGGTGGGACGTCCCGTTGCGGCGGCGAGAGTGCACCCAGCAGCACACGCCTCTTCCACATCCGCAAGAGCTCCACCAAAGCCACACGAGCCGTTGAGGTCAGCCTCGTCTATTACACCGAACAAACTCACGTTTCGTGATGAATGGCCGGCGTAACTTCTCCCTCTCTTTGTGCCCCCCCCACCCAGGTGGAGCCCAGTGCCTCCTCTCTGAACACCAACGACGTGTTTGTGCTGAAGTCAAGTGATGCCCACTTTGAGTGGAAGGGAAAAGGAGCCACTGAGGAGGAGATCGCTACAGCTAAGCACCTCACCAAGCTGATTGGAGGAGCTGCCACTGAGGTGGAGGAGACAAAGGAGCCACGTGAGTGCCGCAAATAGAGCTTCTTCTCCACAGGACAGCAGCAGTGAAGTACTTCCTGTGGATAAGTATGGTTTTCTCCTTGTTTCCAGCTGCTTTCTGGGCAGTACTGGGTGGAAAGAAGGAGTACCAGACCTCCAAGGCCCTGCAAAGCGCCATCAGGCCTCCACGACTGTTTGGTTGTTCAAACAAAACTGGCAATCTGATAGTGAGTGTTCAGTGTTTTTTCAATCATGTTTTTTCTTCTTTTTTTTTTTGCCAAATGTTTTGATCATTTCTTAGAGACAGTGTGTAAATGTATGCTACTCAATACATAGGCGGAGGAGGTGCCCGGTGACTTCACACAGATCGATCTGGCAACTGATGACGTCATGATTCTGGATACCTGGGATCAGGTAAGCCACCGCTTTTAGATTTTCAGTTTCAGCTCGTGCCCTCTTTGTTGCTTCCTTAGCTATAATTCTGTTTGGTTGATTCTCTCACCAGCTCTTCGTTTGGATCGGAAAAGATGCCAATGAGACAGAGAAAACTGGATCGTTCGACATCGGTGAGATAAACAAAGCTGTCAGACATAAGAGAGAGATTGCAGAGGAGGCCTCCGTTTACAAATGTATTCTTGTTTCCTCTTCAGCCAAAGAGTACGTAAATTCGGACCCGTCTGGCCGCCGCGGTATCCCCATCACCACCATCAAGCAGGGGGAGGAGCCTTTCACCTTCACTGGCTGGTTCCAGGCTTGGGACCCCAAGATGTGGGAGAAAGATCTTCTGCAGTGCATGCAACAACAAATGAAAAAGTAGAGGAAAAAAAACTCTAGAAAGAATCAGCATCTGCAAACATTTGGAAAGTTTCAGTGCTTTGTTGAACTTTAAAGAATAATCAGCATGAAAGATGTCGTGAGCTTAGCAAACTTTGATGCAGGTGGAGGGCAGCTTAGGTGCACTGAACATCCAACTTTGTATCACGATTGCTAGTTTGTATGATTTCATTTGCTTGTGAGAATTAACTGACAGCTGTTTACGATCCACTTTAAAACCCCTGAGTTAAGTGTGGCCTTAGAATTATTTGGAATATGTTTCATAGATTTGGAATTTTAAAAGTCACAAATGCATTTCTTCATGTTTTTATGCAAAATGTCCCTTTTTACAGGCTTGGGTGAACATTTTTGAGGAAGTTTTAATAAAAAAGAAAAAAAGAAATACAACCATTTTCTGATTGCATTTTTTAAAAAATGAAACAGCATGTGTTTTTGCTTTCATCATCGCTCACATCCTGCATTCACTGCCACAGCAGACTTGTTATCATGAGCCTAAATCCTCGCTATGCTGCAGAACCAGGTGTAGGCCTCGCTTGATGGTAATCTTCAGGCCATGTGCGCGGGGCTTCTGCTGAGTTGCAGACCTGTGGATTAAGGAACAGGCTTTAAAAGTGGCTCAACATCCCCCTGCTACCTCCCTTCCTTTGTCCTCTTTCATTCTCTGCTGCTGGAACTGCAAAACAAACACTACATCCAGGCACAATGAACCAGAAGGTGGTACTCATCACGGGCTGCTCCTCCGGGATCGGCCTCGCTTTGGCTTCCCGCATTGCAAAAGATGAGAAGAAGAGATTCATGGGTAAATTTTTTTAAGGCTTCGTCTAAACTTGTTGTGGTTGCATGTCTGAAACTGTTTGTGTCAGATGTTTGTCTCATTGCGACTGCTGAAGGATGTTTAAAGACAACAGAGGAGGGTGCATGCGTTATCTTTTTACTGAAAGGAAGGAGTTTTAAAATGTTATCCCACATTCATATTTCCTTTCAGCCTTCTCTTGAGCTACACAGAGCTGTAGAATATAATGAATAAATTGTCTTATTTAAACTGCTTTATGCATCCTCACTGCCTAAAAGGTTATCAGTAAACCAGCTGTAGTAATTCAGCACTGTTTTGAGATTTTAAGGGGAGCATGTTGTCGTATTTTTCAGGATTCACTGACAGTGAAATTAGTGGATCATCAACTTCAGTTACCCTTTGAATCTCATTGAGTCCCTCATTGCTTGTTGGATTAAATCCATTTCATAATGATTAATATTCAATTTTGTGGAAGTACAAGTGACTTCTACTGATACTATTAGCAGTAATATTGCATTAAAACTGTGTCACTGATATCTAACCAAGTGTAATAATGTTATAGTTTGACTCAGAACTCTACTTAGTCTGGTTTTTAGCATAAATGGAACGTCTACTTTCAAGTAAATGTCACTTGTCTTAATAAGCAACTTTGTCTTGCAACCAATCTTGGCTTCTTTTGCATTCACCTTTTCCACCTTACTTTAAGATTTAAAATGATCGTATCAAGTAAAACTTACCCATTGCACTGGCAAATGTGTTTGTTTTAAATGCCAGAATGCTTATATCTATAAGGTTTGGCCTCCAATTAGCATTTTTGCAGTGTAGAACCATTGGCCAGTGCTTTAGAACACTTTGGAGACTAATCATTCAAAGTTAAGCACAGTTATTTATTACATAACACAACATTTAACAAGAAATGTATTATTTATATTACATTTCTGTCAAAGGCAAGTGAAGAATTTGCTAACACAAAGTAAAAATTGACAGGTGTTCTCAGAGGTTGCAAAAAAAAGATTTTTTTTTCTTTTCTAAGTAATGTAGTTTTTTTTTCAGCTTTATGTGCAAATTTTCAAAGTTTTTGTCTGTTAAACTTGTAACTGAACAGCAGCATCTTTCTAGAAACAACATCCTGGTTACTCTTGTTAATCCTCATGCCATGAAGTTCTGTCTACAGAAGAAATAGTCCCAGAGGTCTGTGGATTATTCTGAGTAGCTCTAACATTAACAACTTTTCAGTGCTTCAAACATAATAAACTAACATCTATCAATGTTTAAAAATCTGTAATTAAATATATTTCTTTATATTTTACAAATTTTCTGCTATTTTTTGCAGAAAATACATAAATATTATGCGAGTTTGAATAAGATTACAAAAGCATAGCATGATAATGCTGATGCAAAATAACATGAAAAACTTCTAACTGTGAATTGCCATAAAATTTGCATTTTAATTTCAAAAACATTTCCTTTCTATTTAATACATTAAACTGTTAAATTTAAGTTGAATACAGCAAATATAGTTATAATTATAGCAATAGTCCATTTCAAAATTACATTCAATTAGTGACAATTAACAGAAAAACAAGCATTTGTTCTGTAATTTTACTTAGATTTTTAGTTGAGATGTATAATAAAGACGTTTTTATACCTGTAAATACCCTTCAATTAACACTAAAAAGCCAAATCATATATATATAACTCATCTCGTGTAATGTTTTGGCTTTAAAATGTATCTAAAAGTTATTTACAGTTTTCTTTTTGTTTTGTTGTTATTGTTGTTTTCACAGTGTTCCTCTGTTGAATTGGCTTGGCAGCAGAAACCTAAGAAAATAAAAGTCAATATTATCCACCATTGTAAATAACACAAAGGGTCATTTGTAATGATGGGAGGTCTGACCCTTTCAAAATAAATGTCTGATGTAATTCAGCAGCCTTTTATTCCAGCAGCTGCTTCAGATTATTTGCGTTTGTTGCAGTCTACGCCACCATGAGGAACTTAGGTAAGGGTGAGGCGCTGGTTGAGGCGGCGGGTCGGACTCTGGGCAGGACTTTGGAGATCAAGCAGCTGGACGTCTGTGACGAAGCGTCCATCAAAGCCTGCGTGGACAGTCTCCCTGAGCGGAGGGTGGACATCCTTAGTAAGTCATTTACCTCAACTCAGTCTGCAAAAGATTTTTACGATTGCGGCTTTTCAGGAATATTGTCTTTGTATTTATGCATATTTTCTCCATGTGATAACACTTCTTTATGTTCTCGGCCTCCTCTCACAGTAAGCAACGCTGGGATGGGTCTGATCGGACCCATCGAGTGTCAGTCTATTGACGAGATGAAGACAGTCATGGACACCAACTTCTTCGGGCTCGTGCGATTGCTGAAGGAACTCCTACCTGACATGAAGCGAAGGAAAAAAGGCCACATCGTGGTCATCAGCAGCGTCATGGGCATTCAGGGTGAGAACCACTGCATCTGTTCATCATGACACCGTCTGTTTATGATGCAGTCTCTTTACACTGTCTTTCTCTGTTTCAGGAATTTTATTCAACGACGTCTACGCGGCATCCAAGTTTGCAGTGGAAGGCTTTTGTGAGAGCCTGGCGGTACAAGCTCTGAGGTTTAATCTGAAGTAAGATACTAACTCTCTTACGCTGCAGAACACAGACACACTTTGCACATTTCATTCTGTACTGGTTTGATTTCCAAAGATGAGATCAGTGAAGGAAACACCTTTCTCCCTCAGAGCTGACATGAAAATACCTGCAAACCAGCACTTGCCTGTGACCCAAACATTCGTGCAGTCCTATTGCATAACAACACCCACCACTGTTTCACCATAAACAGGAAAATTTTCCAAAGTATGCAGGTTGTAGACAAGTTCTGACACAGTATTACACCGTAAGTGGATATTAAATGGGAACAACTATGCAGGAAGGTTTTGATAGGCGTGGAGGAATAATAGGACAATAAAAGCTTCAATTACATCCATTAAAGATAATATTAGGTTTGCTTGAGCATCAAACACCTAATTTCCTGCTTTCTGGTGATTTTCTATGCACCAATTTGTCTTTTCTGCATAAATTTCTAGTGGAAATGTCTCAAGAAAATACTAAATACAGTGGAACATGATGCAGTGAGGCTCTCAGGGATTCTATGCAGCTTTCAGATATTTATTTCTCTGGAGATCAGCTTTTCTTTGTAATATTATTCCTGCAGAATGAACACAGGTACAGGCATGATTTTCTTGTCTGTCCTCCAATCCAAGTAACCTCTTGGATTCTGTGGCACATTGTCACATTAATGTAATTTTAATTTTTAAATCTGTCTGCAAATTAGTGTTTTGGGTTAACTTCTAAGAATCCTGCACGACTCAGCTCTACTACTGAACGCACGTGTTCTAAACAGGACGTATCCTTTGCTGTTCCTTCTTCAGCATCAGCCTGATAGAGCCAGGTCCAGTGATCACAGAGTTTGAGCGTAAGGTTTATGAGGAAGGCATGAAGACTGATCTGAGCAAAGCAGACAAAGTGACGGCTGACATGTTCACAAACATCTACTTAAAGAACTACAATCAGATCTTCGAGACCCTTGGCCAGACTGCCGACGACGTAGCAGAGGTATCGTGCAGTTCAACCCCGAACACGTTTCATCTCGTCACAGTTCATGAAAACACTGCGATGGGGATAAATTATAGTGTGCGCCGCATGTAAACATGGTTTGTCCTGTGTTTTTCCTTCCTAGCATACCTTCAAGATCATCACCATGGACAATCCTCCTTTCCGTCATCAGACAAACACTCTTTACACCCCCATGACCACGCTCAAATACGCCGACCCCAACGGCGACCTTCCAATCGACACGTTTTACAAAATGGTGTTTGAACACGACAAAGTCTTCAACGCCAGCCTCAACTTCCTCAAGCTTCTGCGCTGGAGAAGTCGAAAGAGTTTCACTCTGGACAAGGACAAGGAGAAGAGTAGCTGAGTTGTTGTTGTTTTATGTGAGACATATTAATCGTGCATAGCGTCTTAGCATTTTTCCTTTAAATTATTTTTAGCTGTAAGACTTTTGTGATTAAAGCTGAAACACATAATAAAAAAAAAAAGAAAAGCCATGAGTGGTGCTAACCATGTCATCTGTTTTCACATGTGTCTGTAAGCTCTGCTGCAGGTTTAAACCACATCCTATTGACTACCATAGCTGTCTTAGTCAGTAAGCCTCCAAGCTCCATAATATACAATTTTCAAGCAGTAAGCAAAACCATAGAGGGCAATGACAAATGAGTGCATCAGGTGTAGCATTTCAGATAGTTATACAGCCTTGTTGGGGGCTTTTCTCTGTTTCTAAAGACATTTAAATATAAGATTTAAAAGCTGTTCTTGTACTTCTTCTGCTAACATATTGTGCTTATGATACAGGATTATGTAAGCCGTTTACACATGGCTTAATCTGGGATACTGCTGTTTTAATCTGAGCTGCCGAGTAGCGGAAATAGTATTCACATCTTTTCTGTAAGTAAAAGTACTAATAAAACACTGTTTACATACTTTGTCACAAGCCCTGTATTAAAAATGTTTTTAATGTACGTGTATAATCAAAACAATGTACCTTAAGTATTAAAAGTACAACTAAAATATCTCCTATGACTGTCAAGTTAAACGGCATTACATTATTATTACTGATGCATTAATATAAAAGCAGGATTTAGGTGTTGTAGCTGCAACAAATTATTTTCACTGTGTTACCTAAGTTATTTAATTATTAGGGATCAAAGCCTTACAAAGATATAAAAAATACAACATTACCTGCCTTTAACAAACATTAAAGCTAAGACCTTACAGCATTATTAGTTATGTAGATTAAAAAAAACCAATTGTAAGTAACAGAAATTTGTCATCTATCGGTATACATAGGTATAGTAAAGTTGACAATCTAGGCAGTATTTTAAGCTGAAACTTTAAATAACCATTCTAGGGACTTGTGAGACTTACATTCCCTGTTAGAAATACTATTTATATTAGTGCTATACTAATACTTACAGTCGTCTTCAAATGTATTCATACCCTTGAAGTAAAGAAGGAAAAAAACAACTGTCACTGCAATAAGTTGAAATCAACAAAAGTAATAACTTTAATGACAATCATGACATTGCTTTTGAATTGTGGTTCAACAGAAACATTAAAAAACAAACAAACAAACAAGCAAACAAGCATGATGGGACCCATAAACTAACATTTTGTTGAACAACCCTTTGAGCCAATCACTGCAATCAAGTGTTTTCTGTAACTCTCAATCAGACTTCTGCACCTGTTGACAGGTATTTGGATTTTGGTCCACTGCTCATCAGCAAAGTGCTCTTCACTAAATTATAATTTAGCATTTTTTTTTTATTTATTATTATTTTTTTCAGTTTCTAGCTATTTGAGTGATTATTGTGAATTTTGCCTTTTCTTTAATGGAAGGGTCTGAATACATTTGAGGACGACTGTATAAAACACTGTAATAGTAATTATGGAGCTTAACCTGACTAATTTTAGAACTACAAAATTTTCCATGAAAACTAAACAAAACAAAAAATTTCCGGGATTCCTTATGAGCTAACTGGTTTTATTTAAATATTTTTAATGCAACATAACATAATAAGGAAATAAAGTACAACGTGTAGTTCTCTAAGTGACCGGTAGGTGGCGGTACTCACTAGCAGGGCGACTTGAAACGCCTCCTGGTGACGCACCGAATCCGGCTCTTTGTTTGACGTTGTATCCGGACAAATTAAAGCTAATGTTGCCCACAGTACATAATTATAAATCAACTTCTACTAGCTTTAAGTTTGTTTAAAATGTTTGGTTCGTTTGTCGATGCGAGGTAGAGTAACCGGCCGTGCTGTGGCGGTGTTACCGGGTCCGTTGTCTCTGTGAAGCGAACTATTTCGCTTCACATGCAAGCGGCACTTCATTGTTAGCCTAGCTTTAGCCATGCTCTCCGCTGCCACTTGTCTTCTGCGTTTTGACAGGGACCACGGCTACTTGTTAGCTTGTTAGCTAGCTAGCTAAGAATTCCCCACCGTCAGTATTAACGGTTTTGTGTTCTCCTACAACATTTCTCGGACCTTTAATTTTTTTGTCACATTCCGTGTGAGGGTGCTGGTCTGCTGAAACGGCGCCTCGTTTGGTGTAACGCCTACAGTTAGCGATTAGCTTAGTTAGCAAGCTAACTTAGCAGCCGGCTAAGTTTGAGGAAACGTCTCATTGCTTCATGACATTTAACTTAGTGTTGACGCTGTCTTGACCTGGATGCGGTACATTAACTACACCGACTCAAGAAGGCGTTTCTCGTAACTATTTTGCCCGCTCAACCAGGAATCGGGAGTTTCGGTTTCTTTTTTGGTTTGTGGTCATTTGCCTGCCACGATGGCTTCTTCCTCTGGAAACGACGACGACCTCACCATTCCGAGAGCAGCTATCAACAAGATGATCAAAGAAACTCTCCCCAACGTACGAGTGGCCAACGACGCCAGGGAGCTTGTGGTTAACTGCTGCACAGAGTTCATCCATCTCATATCCTCGGAAGCCAATGAAATATGCAACAAGTCTGACAAGAAGACCATATCTCCCGAGCATGTCATCAACGGTGAGACCTGCTCTCAGATGTATTGGGGGAGTACAGCTGGTAAGGGGGGTGTGTCTCTGTCCCTGTAGGGAGCTTTAAACCACAGAAAGTAATTATTACACTTTCGCCTCACAGCCCTAGAGAGCCTCGGTTTCGCATCTTACATCACTGAGGTGAAAGACGTCCTGCAGGAGTGTAAAACAGTTGCCCTGAAGAGGAGGAAGGCCAGCTCTCGACTGGAGAACCTGGGCATCCCAGAGGAAGAGCTCCTCAGACAACAACAGGAATTGTTTGCCAAGGTATGATTTACAAACACAAAATATGCAAGTGCTCATGTGTTTATGTTGTGGAAGAGAATCCCCAAGTTACAGTGCAGAAATGAGGAGCTGAGTACCGGATTCACAGCAAACAGACATGCAGAGCCGTGGTGTAAAATGTGACGATGGCTTTACATTTTGCACAGTTATCTTTTGTGGGGACTGCTTTTGCTTTCATATACGTTCAGAAAATGGAGTGTGCGTGCTGACAAACTTCATAGATTAGTGTTGGTCAAAGTTACTAAGCCTGACGCTGTTGCAGCTTTTATGGTTAATATTATTGCACACTGGCCTTTTGGTACATCCTCGAGAGTTTGCCACCCTCGTTTTTAATTGCATATATTGAGATATATGTGAACATCTTTGAACCTTGCTTAAAAATAAATGTAAGACAGTCATAAAACGTCAGACCATATCTTTACTGTGGATATACTCTTGCCACAGTGTCCCAGCTACACATGCTGAAGCGTCGCGGCCCGTGTGCAGGGGCTGTGTAGGTAGGCAGGCAGGTTGGTTGTATTAACTTCTGCAGGAAATGCCTAATGCTTGAAAAAGATGCAAGATTTTCATGTTGCGATCTAGCTAAGACATTTCCAATGCAAACTTGCTTAGCTCAGCTGCTGCTCTCTAAGTAAATTAGAGATTATGAGCATGTTTACTTTGGGCGTGTTATGCGTAGATGCACAACACTGTCAACTAATGCATGGGACAGCCATCTAAAACACTTGCAGCACTATAAATAAATCAATATCACAGCGCTTTAGTCAGGAGCACCTAAACCAAAACTGTCATAACCAAGACCAGAGACCAGTGTAAAACCCACACTACATACATGACACAGTGAATATTTCTGAAGAGTTTCGTTGCAGAGGCAGTTTGTTAATGTTTGCTAATTGGCAATAATAGTACCATTTACACGTCGCTTATCTTCCTTTCTGCTTCCTTTCTAAGTTTGAACAAATGTTTGATGTGGTCCCAGTCGTCTCAGTAAGTGTTGCGTCTTGTTTTGCAGATGAAATTTTTGTGGTTTAGGCAGCAACCGTTTATTAGACAAGACGCAACTGACATCTCTTCCCAGAACAAGGGTGGGGAGAAACAATGACATCAAGACATTCCAATTAGAAATGAGTCAAGTTTTTGGTTTTTGGAGCAAAAATATTTTTAATTCCAATCTTAAAAATGACGGTAACAGCTCAGTCAGACAATTAACAGGCAATTTAACGATATCCCTGCAATTGTGGTCTTGAAAGTTAAAGTTCTGTTAGTCTGAGCTACAGACTTTTGAGTTCTGCAGCAACAAAATAATGTAACTCAGCCTCAGTCATGTGTTGCATAAGGCTTTATTGTGAATATTTTCTTGTGCACAATACATACAGTGTAATGCGTGATATTAAATATTCGTTCTTTATTTAAATGCAGAGTATAGTGAGGTATGTAGGCCTAGTTTTAGTTTGCAATGTAGCCAAGTAAGAACATAAAAGATGCAGGAACACAAATAATAAACTTTAACAACAATAAAAAATATGAAAAGGCAACAAGTTAGTAAAATAATTAAACATAAGTTTTTTAAATATTTAAAAATAAATGAATCAACTTAAAGAAGAACAGTAAAATGTACATGTAACATAACCGTATCCAAGAAAATGTAATCAGTAAAAGTTTGTGAACAGCACAAGCCTTAAGATTGAACCCCGTGGGACACCTACTACTTTCACAAAGACTACGAAGAACTATGTGTGTGAATTAAAAGCACTGTGATGTTTGAGCTCTAATTAGACATCAAATCGCCATCCTGATCCTCTCTAATTGCCTATTAAACTCTTCATTCGCTTCCCTTGTCTCATATCTGTCTTTTCTGTGTTTCTGCAGGCGCGACAGCAGCAGGCGGAGCTCGCTCAGCAGGAGTGGTTGCAGATGCAGCAGGCTGCCCAGCAGGCACAGATGGCAGCAGCATCTGCCAGCGCCGCCCAGCAGGCCGGTTCCTCTCAGGATGAAGACGAAGAGGATGACATGTGATCCCAGGACACCGTTCAACTTGTCCGAATCCCTTCCTGGGAGAGTGTTGGTACGCAACTCTCCCAGTGCTGTCATCGGCAGAGACATGAGACATGTTTGACTGCTGGTATACATCGATGAAACATGGAAAATGCACATTTGGAACGGACAGCAAAGAGAAACGTCAAGGAGGATTTCAAGATAGCCACACGTTTAGATGCCAGTACCTGAAAATGATTTGGATTTGAAAGACTGTTATTGAAGTTTTTGATTACTCTCATCTGCCCCCTCTTTTTTTTTTTTTTTTTTTTTTTTTTAGTTGCTTCTGTTTAACTATGTCTTGATATTCTGTTGTCAGTAATTTGTAGATTTCTGGATGTGTTGTAAACACACTGAAGGCAGATGCTGTTTGGCACATGTCGGTGGATTACGGTGATAATGCAGCAAGTGTTCACTACTTCCGGTACTGCACCAGATAGCTTGTTTATGTCATCTGTAGGGCTAGATCACATTCAGTGGTTTAGGAGAGCTGCTCTTGAATGACTCCAGAGCATCTGATTCCTCCTTTCTTGGTGTTTGATGGTCGTTTTTACAGAAAGGTTGTTGTTTTTTTTTTTTAACCCCCCTATTGGTATATTTGTTCAACAGTGGATCATTTGAGGGGTTGTGAATATTGAATTTGTTCTGTTAAGTAGAGAAATAAATGGATATTTTGTTTAATTTTAGTTCATCCAGATACTTTCTGTTGCTTTTTCCATCTACCTTGAACCACCCACAGTATTGGTAATTAGCTACACCTTTGAGAAACTGAACATTTTTGTCTCATAGAACCAAAGATAGATGACAGACTAACAACCCAGAGTTTGTGTTTTTTTAAAGGTGTAGGTGCGAATGTGATTCTCATTGCTGACTCCAGATCAGTGTAACCAATGTTGAGGAATATTAACCTATAACTTTGTAAGATGCTTTGATATCCAGGCAGATTTTGTTGTTTCCCGTCTCCTCGGGCGCAGTATCAAACATTTGCATTGTGACTGTGGTCAATCCTCAGTGTAAAGACAAGTAACCTAGTTGTGATACACATTCACTTGCCTATACTACAAAATTGTATTCTTTAAGCAATAAAGGAATCACGTTTTATACACAGTTGTTCTGTACTCTTTTCCCACCCCCTTCTGCACATGTGCTGTTTTACCACGATGTCTCGATGTATGCCTGAGGACAGTCAGATGTCTGAGAGCAGGTCGACCAGCTGCAGCGGAGCACTCGGCTTGTCATTGTCTCTCATTTTATCCTTTAGAAATGGCAGGAGCGATCATAGAAAACATGAGCACTAAAAAGTTGCTTTTATTTGGTTTCTTTATTCTTGTTTTTCAGGTTTTTTCCATCTTGGTGGGAGCTTTAATTGGTAAGTTTTTATACCTTTTAAATTAAATAGCAAGCTGTTTGTAGACGAGTGTAATCCTCCTGGAAGTGCACCAAAACGCAGCTTTCGCCAGATTTACTCCAACATGTCGCCGATCTATTAATTTCCTTTGCCATAGCTCCTAGTCCCACCAGTGCCATACGCTACTTGGCCACCAAATGCATCAACCGCCACAGGACGCGCGTCTGGCTCATGCCGTGGGGTTCGAACCGGTGCCAGCAGGTCCACAGTTTTGACGAGCCTTTGGCCAAAATCCTGGATGCCAATGACATTGTTTTTGCTGTGCACGTACCTCTTCCCAACAAGGAGATGAGCCCCTGGTTTCACTACATGCTGGCTGTTCTGCAGTTTGACATTGCGTTCAAAATGATCAATCAGATTGGTAAGATATGTTTCTGAAATGTACATAATATATTTCTCCAGCTGTTGTTTTTACGAAGGAGGTCTGTTAAACTAAGGCTGCAGGTGGCTCGGTGGTTAGCACCATTGCCTCGCAGCTAGAAGGTCGCCGGTTTGCGTCCTGGTGAGGACACCTGGGATCTTTCTGTGTGGAGTTTGCATGTTCTCCCTGTGCAGCGTGGGTTCTCTCTGGGTTCTCTGGCTTCCTCCCACAGTCCAAAAACATGTTGAGGTTAATTGGTGATTCTAAATTGTCTGTAGGTGTGAATGTGAGTGTGCTTGGTTGTCTGTCTCTAAGTGTAGCCCTGTGATAGACTGGTGACCTGTCCAGGGTGTCCCCTGCCTTCACCCTGAGTCAGCTGAGATAGGCTCCAGCCCCCCATGACCCTAGTGAGGATTAAGCGGTGTATAGATGATGGATGGATGGATGGAGGTCTGTTAAACTGAATCATGTTCCTGTGTGTGCAGAGGATGACGTTATCGTCACTGTTGATGCTCGTCTGGCATACAGGGATGATTTGAAGTCTGAGTGGACTACTAAGTTTCACTCAGTGGAGCAGAGGCCGCTCAAGTGCACTTTTGCAGTCCCCAAGGTAAGAAGCATGTAGGACTGTTTTTAATTAGGTCTGCACTATATTGGGAAAAATCTGATATCTTGCTTTTCTGTGCTACATTTTGCCACATGAAAATGATATCAGACAAACTTCTTTTCTGGATTAGACACTGAAAAGTTGAACCATGTGAGTTTTGTTTTTGTGTCAGCTAGCAAAACAAGTCATAGTATGATGAGTTTAAGTGAATCACTGCTGTAAAAGCTGCACACATTGCGATGCAGATATAATGTGCAGCCCTGTGTTTAATAATAATCGCATATATCAGTCTGCTTAACAACTTCCATGCTTTTGCAGACATATGAAAATGAGGGTCGCTTTTATCACTGTGACCCCGTACCATTGATGGAAATGGGAAGTGTGGCCCACAAATATTTTTTACTTAATCTACGCTTGCCGGTGAATGACACGATGAACGTCGGCATTGGAGAAATAAAGGACATCCATATAGTGGTGAGGTTAACTCTTATGCTTTAACTTCCATTATATGGTCCAGAGGCCGCATTTAAACATCAGATGTCCCTCTTGTCTCAGGGTATCCACCAGAACGGGGGCTTCACTAAAGTGTGGATGAGCATGAGGACAGTGTTCACTCCCTGGATATCTGCGGCGACAGCTTGGTACTGGCGCAGGATCAGCATCATGGCAAGACCTCCAGTCCTTCTGGAAAAGTACGTTCCAGTAGGGAAGAAATATACAAACTGAACCAACTGCTTTGACTTTGTAACGTTACTAGTGTACAGCTACATGAAGAATAGAACTAAATGTTAGTGGGTGGTGTTCTCCAGACTGTCTGGCTTGTGGTTGACAGTTTCTTTTTGGAATCATCTGTAATCAAGACAGCAGGGCAGCATGCAATTCACCTCTAAACCTCTACTTCTTGCAGCACATTACTCCAAGACACTACATCTCTGCCAGCATAAACAAGGGCAGATAGGAACCAAAATCCCTCCTAGCCTAGTGAAAAGACTACTTAAATGTTACATATGCAGTATAATATTAGTGATGCATGATATTAAAATTTCTGGCCGATACCGATGTTAAGATTTCTGATATTGCTGATAACAGATATTACCGATGTTGATATTCAATTTTTGTTCACACCAAAAAAATGAGTACAAGTACGCCTTATGAGAAAACCATTCAAAAGAAGCCCAAATTAGACCACATAGTCTTCTTTATTATGAAACTAAAGTAAAACATATTTTAACATATTTTAACATATTTAATGTTCTAAGTCTACGACCATTTAAGTAAAAACATGTGAAATAGCAGCAATATCAAATGTAGAGACAAAGGCACTAATGTTAGACAATCATTGGCTAAATTTGTTCATCAGGCCGATACCAATCCAGCGGAAAAAGCACTAATATCGTCCGATACTGATGTGGTCGCCGATATATTGTACATCCCTAATAAATATATATAGAAAATTCTAAAGGTGCTGCTGCAACTGGTAATAAAATAGTTAAATAGTTAACCAAACTGTGCAAAGTTCTAAAATTCTAATGCATTTGGTCTTTTGGTAAAACTTGACAATTAAAAGAATCCAAAAATGTACATTCTCAACAATTAAACATTAGTATTAAAGGTACAAACATACAGAACTCAGAGGTCTTCCATATTAGATCGGCGAACAGCACTTTATGATGAATACAAAGTAATTCTAAATAAACATGAATACAAAAAAAGTTCTTAACTCACTTTTTCAAGACTTTTTAAAAAAATTGTTTTGTTTTTGGAATTTTCCAGCTGACTGAATGTGAACTGTGTCGCACATATTTCACAATTTATTTCTTTATTTTTTTCATGTTTTGCACATATTTTGCACTTTTACTTTGTATTATTCGTTTCATCGGATGGGTGCTAAAAAAAAAAAATAGGTTAAAGCTGGAGAGCACTGTGCATTTGCCATATTATACAAAATGTATGTGTACAGTGTGGCAAAGTCGTGATGCCATAAATCATAAAAAATAAAAGAAAATTTTAAAAAAGGGTTAATTTCTTTCTCAGTTGTTTTACAAGAAATTAGAACTGGAATCAACATGTGTAACATTATTAATACAAAAAAATATTTTATTAATTTTTCTAAAGAGACTTGAGAAAATTAACCAAACGTAAACTTAAAATCATCACATTTCATCAAATGCACCTTATTGTACAACTAAACTGTATCTAACATATGATTAGTTCAAGGACCGTTGGAAAGTTGAAAATTTGACGATTTTGTTTTTACTGTGTCTGCTTCTGATAAATGGTTTCATTTTGGACATTTTTGAAAGTTAACATACCTTTCAAGTCAACTGGCAGGTTTTGTGGTTCAAGGACTGTAATTGATTCTTAGTTATTAACGCTTTGGGCCTTCAAACAATTCCTCCAGCTTTAGGTATGATTCTTACAGACTGAACACATGATTATCTTTGTTGAAAGGCAGAGTGAAGTTATACAACACAGCTCTGTTGCTCTTAAATCTGAGTGCATCCCAGGCTCCGTTAGCCTCTCTGAAGCCACAGGTAAACCTTCTGGCATAGTTTTAAGAGGTAGAAAATGCTGCAGGGTGGCATGAGGCGAGCAGAGGAAATGAAACCTGCTTGAGTGCACGACTGCCTAAAACTAGGTCATTATTCTGCCTGCAGCAAATCAAAATGAGTTTCTTTTTTAGAGCAGATATAAGTGCTCCCATAGCTAGTTTGGCTGTTTATTGACCGAATTGGCCTTATTCAGGGTGATTTTTGCTCTGGGTGTCTCAATGACCTTCCTGAATGTGCCGGTGGAGTGGCTGTCTCTGGGCTTCGAGTGGACGTGGATGCTGCTGTTGGAGGACGCCCAGCAGGGTGCCTTCTACTCTGCACTCTTCTGTTTCTGGATCGTCTTCTGTGGCGAACACCTCATGGTGAGCATCTCGTTCTTGTTCTCAGCTTTTCTCTGCACTTTTCTGCCCAGTTGATGCTTGTTTTGTCAAATCCTTTAGGACCAAAGTCAGAGGAACCGGCTCTCAGCGTACTGGTGGCAAGTCGGGCTGGTGGTGTTTGGCTCATCTATTCTCCTCATATTTGACCTGAGTGAAAGGTAAATTTTATTATTTTTTTTAATGGTTTGCATGTCACTGTTTTATCTTTTGTGTTTTTGTAATAGTGATGAGCTGTCTCTCTTTTTCAGGGGGGTTCATTTGAGCAATCCTTTCTACAGTATGTGGGGATCAGACTTTGGGACGAACGTTGCAGTATCCTTCTGAAAGTCACTTAAATGGGGAGAACTCGATGACAGACAAGCTTTTTCCTTAGCTGCCACCACAGTTTACTTTCATTATTGTGGCAGCCATTTCCGTTTGTCTTTATTTCTTCTCCCTGTGTCGTATGGTGTGTTGTGTGTTCAGGAACATTGGTGGGAAGATGCAACAGCTTCCTGCAATGCCAGAGGCGAGGCGGCTGCGTTACAAGGTTTGATTAGTTTCTTTTCAGATCAAAGTCACAAATGAAAAGTGACAAACCTGAGTATAAATTAGATTCAATAAAACCCTGTCTGCTTTTTACACTCTCGTTGATTCTGGCAGGGTATAATCTTCAGGTTTAAGTTTTTGATGCTGCTAACTCTCGTGTGTGCAGCCATGACCGTCATCTTCTTCATCTTAAACCAAGTAAGCATCAAATGTTTTTTTTTTTTTACCATGTTTGGGCTCCTTATGCAACTCAAAATGTTTCCTTCTTCCACCAGGTCAGTGAAGGTCACTGGCACTGGGGAGACTACACTCTCCAAGTCCACAGTGCTTTTCTCACCGGGATCTACGGCATGTGGAACCTGTACGTCTTCACCATCATCTTCCTCTACGCTCCGTCACACAAGCGCGGCAGAAGCAAGTCTGCAGACGGTCAACACGCAGGTGTGTAACAGGCCTACTGTTTGGTCAGCTCTCCAAGCAACTGACTAGAGGTGTTTGCTTTGTAAATACGTCAGATGTGTTCCTTCACAAGAACTGTTTGTCTAAGATTGTGTTACAGATATGACAGAGAAGCCGGAAAGCCAAGAAACACAGCTGACATGTGGGGAGCAGGGCCCGACGGAGGCCTACAGGATCACCGGGAAGGTGGCTGAGGAATAACTGCAGTTTAAGAAACAATTTTTTGTGTGTTTTTTCCTTATTCTAAAGCCATTTCTTGAATGTTTTGCCTTTTTTTTTTGTCCACTCTAAACAGTGTTCATATTAGTCAGTGTAGAATACAGTCAGTTTAGTAGAATAAACAAGAGCTGCAGCACTGAGAGGAAATATGGAGAAAGCTTGACTACACAAAACTAGTTTGTTATGAGGTTCAGAAATAAGCTGCTTAATTAGCTGTATGCTCTGGGTCATTGTCTTACTGGAAAGCAAGTTTTCTCCCCACAGTTCTCTTGCAGGCTGTATCAGTTGGTCCTCCATGACTTCCCTGTACTTTGCTGTATTCATATACTCATCCAGCTTAACAAGCCTTCCAGGATGTGCTGAGAAGAAGCATTCCAACATCATGATGCTGCCACCACCATGCTTTACAGTGGGCATTGTGGGTTTGTGATGATATGCAGTGTTTGGTTTCCACTCCTCTCAATATTTAGTTTTGGGGTTTTTTTCTCCATTTGTCCAATAAAAACATGAGAGAAGCAGAGGAGTTATTTTTGGATAGTTGAAGTCAATGGACGTATAAATTGATATATTAAAAAAAAGTGTATGTTTAAGAAGTTACTTTCCCAAACAACAGAGGACAGTAGTGTAACCTGTGTCTGTTTGTGTGTTTAGACTCAGTAGGGATTATATTTGATTGAAAACTGATTAATAAGAAAATAAATATTTCAAAGCAGTTCACAATACATGAGTGCGTTGTGTTTCATTTAATTTCTCATGTTTATC